TACTTGCTATTTTTTTTTCATCTGTACACTGACTGCGCGGCATATGCAGTCAAGTGTAAACTCCTGGTTTCTTAAAGATGCTGGGATGCTGAAATAATGCGCAGGAGTTATATCATTAGTGCCTGCCCAATTGATGAAGCATGAAGACTGCAGACTGGGAAGGTGAGTTGATGTGGGGAGCAATGGAACTCACATCGCTGGAGGAGAGTACAGCCAAAGGTAAGTGTGCCATAATGTGCAAGTATCGTGTGCATACTTCTTGCACATTATGGCAAATGCTGGCTACGACTACCATGCTTACCTCTCGCTGTAAACCTTACTTAGCCTTAAAACAGCACATTTTAAGTTTGGGTTAGGTTGGGTTCACACCATGTGTGTTGGGTTTAGGGCTTGTCCTAATGTATTCCTATGGTATTTTGGGGCTCTGTTCACACCAGTGCAGTCAGTTCCGGTGCAGGGGGAAAAATGCTGCATGCCCTATTTTTTCTGCACTGGAACGCACCAAAATGCATGTAAACGCATCAAAAACACATGCAAACTCTCCGGAACGCACTGGACCACACCTGAAAGCCCATTTTAAGCTAAAAGAAAACCCACACTGGAACGCACTGCACTGCATATGCAGAAACACATCCAGATCTGGTCCGGATCTAGTGTGAACAAGCCCATTTACATATGGTAAACACGCTTAAAGAGGAACTTTACCCAGATCTTCGAAATAGCAACAAAGGCACCTTTAGAAATGTTTAGTGATGACAATCTACAAACAAATACTTGTAGATAATTGCTGGCTTTTTATTTTTTGCATACCTTATTTTTCTTTTTTTCCCCAGTCTTCTGACAGTGGCCATTTTAACTGCAGGTAATTAGATCTCCCTTTACTTCCCGGCATATGTGACTAGGACATGTGACCATGCACATCATCTCCGGGGAGGAAAATGCCTTTCCCTGAGATCTCATGAGAATACAGATGAGATTTTCCAGCAATGCTCTGTTGAAGTAACCTTCCCAGGATGAACCGCTTGGGCACGATTTAGGGCTGCAACTAACCGTTATTTTCATAATCGATTAGTGGACCGATTATTTTTTCCATTAATTGGATAAAATAGAAAAAAAAATAATACTATCATTTATTTAAAAATAAAATACACAAATGCAGCGTTACACAGACATAAAGTTTACTTCAGAATAAAACGGTATGCATATTTTTTGAAATCGCACTGCACTGGAACGCAGGGCACTGCAGTACCGCGCGTTCCAGATCACGGGAGGTGTATTTGGGATGCCATTGAAATGAATGGCACCGCAATGCACCTCCTGCTGCAAAATTTGTCAGGCCAAAACCAAAAATGACTTTTACCATCTTTTTTATTTTTTTTTGTAATAACTGTATGTATTAGACCAGGGCTCAAAATTTCAGGTCCTGAGCTAATAGCCAGGCCTTCAAAGTTACTCGCCACCAGTTGCCCTGCATAACACAAACAAACACACACAGGGCACAACGCGCACACAGCACAACACACATACAGCCACAGCACAACGCACAGGGCATTACACATACAGCCACAGCACAACGCACAGAGCATTACACATACACATTTCATCTGAATACTATGTGTCCCCAGTTATTTACAAACACTGGAGTGATCAGACGATCGATCCAGTGTTTGTCCTTCTCAGATGGAGGATCAGTAAATATCAATGATATTTTCCGATCCCCCGCTCTGCCACGCACAGAGCCGCTGTCATCCTGAAACTGACAGGATGACAGCGGCTCCGATCTCCTCCCCGCTCGGCCATCCTGACAGCTGCGGGCGCGGCTTCTCTCCCCCTCACCGATCCGCCATCCTGACAGCAGGCAGTGCTCCCTCTTGCGCCCCCCTGCTTAGACGGACGGACGAGGGAGCGCTGTCATCAGGTCGGTGAACAGGAGAGAAGCCGCCCCGAGGAGGCTTCATTTCCACTCGCCCCCACGCAATTTTCACTCGCAAATTGCGAGGGGGCGAGTGGAAATTTTGAGCCCTGTATTAGACATTTTAATTCGTTTCATGGATTTAAAATAATGTGAATTGTAAAACTCTTAGCAAATATAATAAAATAACCAACTTTTTTATCTACAAGAACACACCAAAACTGGACAAAAAATAATATATGTGTGTGTGTGTATATATATAGATATATAAAAGCCCAGTCATCAGTTTAGCATTAGCAATGAAAAATGGCACGAGAATATTATTGCGCAATCGTCGTTTCGGATGTAGGTGCACCCGACTTGTGTTTCTGTTAGTATGTGCGCATTTGCGGGGTTGGGGGACTTTACATTTTTTGGGGGGTAGTTTTAATTTGATTCAACTTCATTTTTTTTTGTTACAACTTTTTTTTTTAACTTAACTTCATTGTTATCACATGGTGGGACTCGCAAGCCCCCTATGTGATAGCACATTGGAGGTGACAGGTTCTCTTCAAGGTGAAGTACAGAGTTCTCCTTCAGGTCCTCCTCTGCTGATTAACAGGTGGGCGGAATAGCCAGGCTACTATTGGCTATTGCAATCTAAAATATCCATTAGCAGGCTGGCTATTGTTTCCAGCCGCTGATGGGAGACTTGATGCCGGCTTTATACCGCCGACAGAATGGGGGGGGCATGGGGAGGGGGCAGAGAAGGAAATGGGGCAGCAGAAGAATGGGGCAGCAGAAGCCGTGAGATCACAGCTGGCTCCGCCCAGCTGTCATTTGCGTGGAGATAGGTCGGCTTTGGCCGACCTTTCTCCATGCTTCGGCTGTCACTTCGGCTCAGTCGAGCGGAAGCATATAATTTCTGCTCGGCTGCTGTTCGGGCTATTGTGAATAGCCCTTACAGCAGCCCTTTGGTTCGCCTGAACCGAAGGGCAAAGGTGGCCGAAGAGAGCCGAGGGATCAGCCGAAGCTACAGCTGGATCCTTCGGCTCTTTAGTAAATAACCCCCTAGTCTATGAAGAATGACTTTGTGAATATGCCCATGGCTGGGCACAAGATAACCTGGAGCTGTAGCAGCCTCTGAGCCTTTGGCTGCGGGTGCATTGTTGGATGAGTCTGATAAATCTTTCTTGAAGCTGTTCTTTATGGAGACTGGACAAACCCCGATAAGTTATGTTGTCCTCCTAAATGTTGTACTGACCAATATCTGTTTGAGGAGATTTTTATTAAGAAGTGGGCTGTCCCCACTGTCGATCTGGCTATATCTCGCCCAGGGCTGTCTTTAATATTGCTTAGACCCTGGGCAAACATTTTCTTTGGGCCCCCTGCCACATCCCGCCCCCCACCATGCAATTTTGCCCCGCCATGCAATATTGCCTGCTATATTCTGACAGCACAGAGCCGCGCTGCAGCTCGGAAAGATCGCAACAATATTGCCTGGATCCACCCTGCTACCTGGTTGATAGCTGGCTCTGCCTCTAGATCCAGAGCCAGCTGTGCCAGCTCCCTCCCCGATGCCGAAGAGGTGGCCAGTGCAGATGCAGCATTAGCACTAGTTTATGGGGTACAGGGTCCCAGAGCAATGACTGGGCCAAGGGCAGCTGCCCCTTTTGCCCTGCCTTAAAGACGGCCCTGATCTCGCCTTAATAAATCACTGACCATACCCTTTGAGGATGCAGGTCCTGTTAAAAAAATTCTTGAAACCCTTTCTCAACCCTTGTTTTCGCTAGCAAGCCCTGCTATACAGCCTGCCATAGCCTTGATGTCGCCAGGACCACTAATGTGTTTTAGCTAAAAAGCCTTAAGCCTAGCTATTCTGTTTTGGTTTTGAAATTGATTAAATACTAGTAGCTCTATCTAAAGTGGACAGGGCGACTCATTCATTCATATATCAGCTGTGAGAAGTTACCTAATCTCCAACCAAACATGGTACAGTATTTCCTCAGTCAAATCTATGCTAAAACTTCCCTATAGTGTTGCATTTTATTGCCAATAAAAACAAAACATTAAAAAAAAAACCCAATACAAACATAGTAAATGTGCATAGTAATTAACTCTTGACTTTTGAAAGAAAAAAGCAAAGGGAGAAGCTAATGCCCAGCTCCAGTACACCAGTAGGAAATTTATCTTCACTGTTTGGGTGTAGTTTGTGCTGTGTGAGTTTACCTCTCAGCCCCTGATTCCACTAGATAGCCATTCTCTTTTTATCGTTCCTAATGGTCACCATAAAGAGGAGCCATCTTCTCACTCCCTCATTTCTAGAAGGTTCAGACAGATTATAGTACAAGTTTATGTTCTTAAGGATAAGGTTTCACCCTTTCCTGAATTCTACTAGGTCTGCAAATGCTTCTTGGCGTTTTGGCAATGAGTTACAATGCTGCCACTGGTCTTCTGTTCACATGATTTATAAGTTTTACCAGGTGGATGGTCAAGCCTCATCTAATACCAATTTCAGCTGTAAGGTCCTTCAGGCAGCACCTAAAGCTGCAAACATTCCCCAGTTTTATTGTTTTGCTACAGTATGTGTGCCTGTTAATGTTTTGTTGCTGTTGCCCGCCCCTCAGCTGGACTGCTTGTCTCAAAGGTGTCCCTTAAAGGAGAACTATGGGGTCAGTGTTTTTCCCCATAGTTCTCCTTAGGGTAACGGGAGAGAAAGAAAACAGGATTTATGTAGTTACCATAAATTTTGTTTCTTAGTGATCATTAAAGAACAGGGTTCCCACCACTCTGTGTTTATGATCTATTCCTGTTGCTGCTTTTTTACAAAACGGTAGCATGCTGGGAGTGGGAAGGGTTATGCCAAGCTGGCCAATGGCTTTTTTGTTGTTTGCCAGTGTCCAATTCATCCTGAAGGTGGCTGTAAAACCAAATTGTCTCAGAATATATTTATATAGAGTACGTGCTGTTCCAAACCTTATGCAGTCATTTAAAGTGCACATAAAACTGTCCTATCACAATATAAAAAATGTGAAGCCCTTTTCTTCCTTCCTTGGCATAGGATGTTCTTTTTTTTCTTTGCAGTTTATCTGTCATTAGAGCAAATAGGGGCTGCAAATGCTGGCCCACTTCTGAAAAGAAAGTGAGTTGTCTAGCTGACTCACTTGTTTTCATACTTTGAGTTAATGACTTGAAACAAGAGAGTTAGCATGACAGCGGTGCAGCTTACATCTTTAGAATGAGAGCTCAGCAATGGTGCCCTCTGTGTTTTTCTTATGACCGGTTTCTTTTAATTGTCAAAGCTAATATGCCTCAGCAAATGTAAAAGGGGCATGGCATTGCTCAGTATTTACCTGTATCCTGTTGCCTCCATGCTACTTAGGTTAGTAGTTTGAATTTGCCATTCCAAATTAAAGCTTTGAGACTGTTGATGAAACCCACCTGTTTCTATTTGGAATCCACCCTTGAGCTACCCGTTCTGATCACTTGGTCACTTTTTCACTGCCAAAACGAGTTCTCCTCTGTCACTTACCACCTATTCATGGTAACAGACATTGCTTCTGTCACATCTGGAGTTTCCTTTGAGTACATAGTGCAAGTGTTACCAGAACTGGAGGAAGGTGAGAGTTTTGCAAATTCATAATTTTCCCGTCTTATTGAAATGACTTTCCAGAGAACCTTTTTCTTACACTAATTTTGATTCCAGAAGTTCCAAGAAGTTTATATATTCTTTTCCAGTCCATTTTTCCAATATAACGTAAGGAACATAGGCTTTTAAGGAGGTACATACAAAGGCCGAAATACATGCCCAATATCCTCTAACCTTAAAGGGATTACCTTTGTGCGGGTTTTGGATAGTTTCCCCTGTAAAATTGGAATTACAAACAATACAGTTATAGCAATGGTAACAGTCCACTTTGTTAGATACTCTAAAGGGGTGACAACAGTATTTCTGTAAAGGATCAGCTTGTATTAGAGGTGAGAAAATGGTTTTATCTGATCTGTTCACACAAAATGGTAAATTCTTAACCCCTACGTAAGGGTTGATCTTCCTGTAAAATATTGAAATTCCATGTCATGGTCAGGTACCTGATTATAGGTCTGCCCAAATAATGGTCTGTTATCAATTTCCAGTCTAGGTAGGGGTTAGCCAGTCTCTCAAATGCCCTATCAAGGGTTCACCTAAGAACATTCTCAAGGTATTATCAAGGTATCCACATTGTTTAAATTTGCTAAATATATCAAAGCAAACCCTTGACCAAATGTTGTGGGTGGGCATCAAAAGGTAGCAGAGTATTCTGATTCCTAAGATTAGTGAACAAAGAAGTTCTGTACTTGCTGTGGCAGACAGAGACTTCCACATCCAAAATATAATACTTGTCCTAGAGTACTCCAAATTAAAGATAATACCTGAAATTAAAGAATTACAAAAAATAACAAAAGCAAACAAATCCAGATTGGTCCCCTCCTGAATCATAAAGCTATCATCAGTAAACCTCTTCCACAACTTTACATACTTCAGAAGGGTTCAGAAGGATAGACTAATGTTTCCTCTAAATATGCCGTAAAAAGTTTAGAAAATGCCGTGGCTGCCTATTGTTGTCCGCTGGTTTTGTTCAAACATTTCATTTTCGAAAGAAAATAAATTGCTCTCACGTACCAGCTCAAGGTCCTCCAACAGATAACCAGCGGAGGGACCCTGAGGGGGGCCCTATAGCTCTAAGGCCTTCTGACTTAGGGAGTGAAGTGTATAGTGACCATTGTGACCATGATGGTATTGCAGCTGCCAGGATATTCAACTCCCCATAGCACTTGTAAAAATTACCACTGTTGCATATAAATGCAGGAATATTACAAACATGGTTATAGATAAGTCCAGCCATTTATTTAGTGGTTGAGTAGCAGAATCCCTATCATTTACAGTAGAGTCTGAATTGTAGGCATTAATCACGTTATTAATTTTCGGTAATCTACAGATCACAGGGTGCTCGGTACATTTCTGGCGATATCTTGAGTAAACTACATGTGGGTAGATCCAATATTAATATAGGCTCTCAACTTGTTCACAGTCCCTCTTATAGGGTCCCCAGGTACATCCTGAAAATTTTTGTTGTCAGCCAGTGTGGATAATATATTACAGCCCTGTAATCAGTATAGTTCAAAACTTTCACTGCTTTACACATATCTGCGTACTTGATCAGAATTTTTTTTATCGCCCCTAATTATTTCAGAGCTAGATGTTCTTTATAGCTCCAATTAGACTGGTACCTAAGATGCCTGTCAACTGCAGGTTCTCAAATCAGACCGTATAATGCTTTCAATGCTCCTATATTATATATATATATATATATTTTAAACTTGTTTAAACCTCATTGCGGTTTTCAGAACCAGAAAACGCGTAACTTTAACATTCTTTCGAACTTAAACAAATGAGATATAACTTCGTCTTTTATTGACTCAAGTCACACATATCACAAAGCAAATGATGTTTCAGGGCCACAAAAGGTCCCTTCATCAGGCTATGTCACGTTGTTTACCTGATGAAGGGACCCTTTGTGGCCCCGAAACGTTTGATTTGTGATATGTTTTACTTCTGTCAATAAAGGAAAAAGTTATATCACAGTAGGTGTACCGGTGACTCTTCTATACATAACTTATGATTGCGGCGCCATCAGCTCATCACTACAGCACCCACCATGAACATTGGGATTCACCGTCAGGAGTGCGATTGCACACGTGCATTAGTTCTTGCCAGTCGGGTGACAACATGGCTCCTGTTCTCCTCCAACATTGGGGGTCTTTACTCCAGAACAGAGCTGCACTCCCATATTGTTGTGTAAACACAGTTTAATACAGAAATACTGTGATCCCAGACTGGCATCATGTGTCCATGATCGCTAGGAGTCACAGGAAGTGGGTTGGATGATGTTGGGTGCTGGATTGCAGAGTGGGGAGTATTTGAGTAACAGCATCAGAGAAGAGGTGAGTGTGGCAATGAATGCATTTTTTTTTATTTTTGCCACTACTGGGCTACTTCTTTATATGTAATAACAAAGGTGGAGTTGGGCTTTAAAATGCCCAAATACATCAAAGTGATCCCTCTCCTGTCTACTACTACTTATATTTATGAAGCATATTTTAAGGGAGTGCCAATATGGAGTAAACAGAGATGGTTAGAGGAGAACCTTGGAACTAGTTCAGCCTCGCTTCTACTCTGGTGATCTGGGGGGTCAGATAAACGAAAAAAAATACATTGTCAAAAAATGGACTCATAATGAATTCATAATCAGAAAGCATTTAAAACGTATAGTGCTATGTATAAATATTTAAAAGAGAACTATAGTCAAAGCTTTTTTTTTGGCATTAGTTCTCTTTTGGATTACAGGAGTACATTTCCTAATGTGCTTCTGTGACCCAAACTACCTGATTGCAGCTGTCTTTGCCTCTTTAGAGCCAGGGCCAGCTGTGCCTGTCCCCATCCCTGTCTGTCCCTCCATTAAGGTCATGAGGAACAGAGAGAGGGGAAGGGGAATCCCTGTGGGGTGTGGTGACTGACAGTCACTCAGTCAGCTGAGAGATCAGTGGTTTGTGATCGCACAGTTCTCAACTATAAAACCAGCATGTGTCAGCTAAAGTAACACATGCTGACTCACACTATTGGAAAAAGTACATTTTACTGTTCAAACAGTTCTTCAACGAGCAAAATATTTGTTTTTTTTATAAAAGTGATATCCACCACTCCCTCTTCTATTAACATTCTTTGCAAAGTCCTTTAGGTGTTTTATATGCTAGAATTTCCCTGATCTCTAGCTAAAAACAAACAGTGAGCTGTGTACTTTGTTAATCTAAATCTTAAGGAAAACCAGCGGTAGCAATAAAAGAAAAGGACATACATAGCTGCTAAGTGCAAGATTAGTGGATGATCAGTAGGGGCTTTTGAGCGGGGGGGAAAAAAAAAAAAAAGATTCTGAATATTTAAATGCAGATCAAGCTGTTCAACTGTTTAGTGACAAAGGTTGAGATAAACTAACATTTCCAGGGGGACTTTACCAATTGCAACATGTTATTTTTAAATTTATACCAAGTATACCATTATAATCACCTCTGACACTGGTTTAGTTGATCCCAGCCCCTGACAATTTTGAGAGACAGCTTTGTCTTCATGTAAATGTGGTACACAAATCAGGTCAGGTGCTGCTGGCTGGTATCTTCCTACCCTGGTGACACCAATTTGCCCCATTTCCTGTGCTGCTGTCACAGGGACAGAAAGTGATTTTAATGAGGTCACAGTGAGGTCAGAAAGGATCATTAAATATAACAGACATTCTAAAGCTTTAACTGGAGTTCGGCTTTAAGGAGAAAATACACTATTCCTCAATTTTATAAATAAATGTCATCTTCTATAGGAAGGTAGTGTGTGTGTAGTGTAGGTAGTGTCTAAATAATGGAATAACATTTATATGCAACAAGATCTCTGTATACCCGAGGAGAAAGTTATTTTGTTGGAGAGTGATTCTGTCATTTTATGCAATAAATATGTGTTTCTTACAGGGGTCAACCACTACCCAGTCTGTGCTCCTGCAGTCATGGCGTCTCGGATTGGATTACGCATGCAGCTCATGAGAGAGCAAGCTCAGCAGGATGAACAGCGAGAACGTATGCATCAGCAACATTTCCAGCATCATCAGCTTATGCCTTCCAATGCATCCCCTGCAATCAGCACACCTGCTTCCTTTCAGCCACCTCCACCTGTTCCAGTTGAAGTCCTACAGGTAATTTTGTCCAAAATAGACTGACAGAGGGCAATGGATTAGCCGCCAGTATTACCTGTAGTCTCCCTACATCTGAGCTTTCCCCTGTAACTGCATTTCAATGCATTGTTCTTCAGTGCGTCTCTTTGTGGAGGCAGCCATATTGGTAGAGGCAGGGCTTTTTATCCTTATGTCAAAGCCTTCAGCAAGGAAAGCAGTGAGCAGCACAGCAGTGGCATCATCAAATTTTGCTCCAAATCTCCTAGCTCCTAATCTCCTTCTGAGACTAGCAGTCTGAGGCAGGGCCGGCGCTACCATATAGGCAGCTCAAGCATCTGCCGGGGGGCGCCGCTGTGGGGGGCGGAAAGATGCGACTGGGAGGTCGGCCCTTTAAGAAGGTCGCCGCGGTGATCACATCTATCTGCGCTCCCTCTCTCTCTACTCCCGGTCGCTGCAGCTTCAGAGCGGCCAGGAGGAGAGAAGAGAGGGAGCGCAGAGAGATGTGATCAGCGCCGATATGAAGAGCAGAGCAGCGGCAGGGATCCTTTTGATGAGGTGAGACCCGCGCGCCCCCCTCCCCATCCCCCGCCAGGAAGTTCTCATCTGCAATACCCCCTCCCAGCTACCTTTCTCTTGTTCCTTGCAGGAGACAGTGAGGGAAGAGCTGCACTCGCAGCCCTTCCTCTCAGCTGTCACAAGAGTTCTGGCACAGTATTGTGCTAGAACTCCTGTATTGGAGGTGACAGGGTCAATAAAGAGTACCTGTCACCTCCATATGCTATCACACAGGGGATTGTTTTCTCCTGTGTGATAGCAATAAAGTTAAGTGAAACATTTTTTTTATTTATAAAAAAATTTGATAAAACATAAAATAAATAAAAATTATGAAAAAATAAGTAAAACATAATAATAAAAATGATAAAAAGTAAAAGATAGTAAGATTAAAAAACAAGTAATAAGAAAAAAAAAACATATAAACAATAAAAAAAATAAGATAAAAAAATTATAAAAAGATAATCAGATAAATACATATTTAATAAAGTAAAAAAAATTAAAAAATGGTACGATATAGCCAAATTAGATGGCTCCTTGGGAGCTTTAGATGTCTTATAATACCATTGCTAGCGATACCCTCCCGCCAGGTACTGCGCTGCTGCGCTGATTACTTGTGAACCAAGATGGTGGAGAACCTGTTCTCTTTTCTTGTTTTACTCCTATGTCCGACGTTCCTCGACCCTTGACATACACCTTGTCCCATTGTCCCATCTTCAATGTTGATCCACTCCTATCTGGTGCACTCCTACAATAGGCCCTTTCGAACCCTACGATGACGCATTATATGTTTGTCTATGTGTTTGTCCTCTTCTCTCTTTTTGTGAACCACCACTCAGTTTATGGTTTGTTAAATGGTGGCTATAATGACCTATTGATGATGTCATGATGTCATAGCTGTTTATCTTATCTTCTTTGTTGACCTGTATAAATCTGTAACCGTGTATAACACCTGATCTATACTATACTGTGCGTGTACCGGGTTACTACCGGTATGATGTCCTTTTCATATGTATTTGCACTAAAAACTCAATAAAAATTACATGCTTAAAAAAAAAAATAAAGTGATAAAAAAGTTAAAAATTCGAAATGCACCAAAAAGGAAATTTCAAAACCGAAACGAAAAATAAAATGCCAGGCCGAAACCGAAAGCACAAACCTTTAAAAAAAAATGTTTTTGAAGCATCTTCGCCTGTGTAGGAAATAATCCTTGCACCGGCCCTGGTCTGAGGCACCAGTGCCTTAATCTCACACTGCAGATATACATCTATGAAACTGTAGGCACAGGAGTGGCTAGGCACACTCACATAACCAGTGTAATGCTTTTTTAAAGGAGTAGTTACAGGTAAAAGGTAGATTTTCAATGTACTGCTGTTTTCTATAACATCGCAAATATAGCCCAAGTATTTTTCAGATCCTTTCGTAACCTTTTCCAGATCTAGAACAACTCTTCCTCTGATTTTTCTAAAATCTCTTTTAATTGGGCCATAGTGCACTTTATTGTAATTGTGTTGGGAAGGTCATATAAACAGACATATATATTTATTACAGGTATTTATATAGCGCCGACAATTTACACAGCGCTTTATGTAGTTGCACATTCACATCAGTCCCAGCCCTCCAGGAGCTTACAATCTAAGGTCCCCATCTCACATACAGGGCCAATTTAGACGGGAGCCAATTAACCTACCCGCATGCCTTCGGAGTGTGTGGAAGAAAACCGAAGTACCCGGAGGAAACCCACGCAAGCACAGGGAGAACATGCAAACTCCTTTGCAGATAGTAACCTGGCCAGGATTAGAACCAGGGACCCCCAGTGCTGCAAGGCAGAAGCGCTAACCACTATGCCACTATATATTTTTTACAATAAGGCAGGTCCACCCCACAGCTGAACTGAATGGAAAACACCCCAATAACAAATATCTGACTTTAGCTTCTCTCCTTTGAAGATGTCCTGATCCTAGAGGTTAACATACTGTATGTATGTATGTATGTATGTATGTATGCGTCCTCTGGTAATTAAGACTGCTATTAATATGACTTATGTAAAGATCCAATCACATTTTAGAGATGCATGCAGGTATCCATAACATTGTTAAGGGTTGATAAACTTGTGTGTGTGCGTGTTAGTATACATTTCATATTAAAAATGTTATATTTTATACAGGTGCAGACTCACCTTGAGAACCCAACAACTTACCACCTGCAGCAGTCCCGAGACAAGAAGGTTCGCGATTATCTGTCAGATACCTATGGCAACAAGTTTGCTGCTCATCTTAGTCCACACAGGCTGTCTCCTAAACCCCCACCTGCTCCTCCATCTCCTGCAAACCGCACTACTCTCCTTTCATCATCAGCAGGAAACAGCGCACCTAACAGTCCCATGGCCAGAATGAACTTGTGCTCTAATCCAGAACGTGAAGTAAGTACATTGAAGGAAGTCCTGCTTTCTGCAAATTATATCAGTGTCTTCACCCATAATACTTATATTTCCAGAAATATATGTGTTCTGCACACAGAGAAAGTGAAGGGCAGGGGGAGAGACCAGTGGGACCTACCTCTCAATATGCACAGCTAACTTCCCAGTACCACCAATTAGATGTGCACTTTACTAGACGTATCCATGTGAAGTATCCAATTAGATCTTCTTTGCAGTGCACACTGTTTACTCCCTAGTATCCTTGCCACTAGTGAGATTTGCTACAGCATATACACGCCATTTCTATTGTCCCACTTTATGAAGGAGAAAATGATTTTGCATCTCATGTGGTGAGAGCTTTGACAGGCAATGCAACACATGATTTTCTGGCTATGTTCCACCCTCCCCTCTCCTTTGTCACTTTATCTCCGCTGCATGCATGTCCGCTATGCCAATGGATCTCTAATAGCATAGTTTTTAATACATCTCTATTATATTTGGTGCCTCATACCACTCTATACACACAGTGCCCCATGCCATTATATTTGATGCAATGTCCATGCTTGTGGACTCACCATCAGAGCCCTCACAACTAACCCCTTATGTCTTCTTCCTTGGCAGAAGCGGAGTGGCTGTGCACTGGGGATACAACACACATCTGCCCTTCACCTTGGAGAAAAAGGGATGGCTTTGTGCTATAGCCATCTCTATTACAGGCGATGCCTTATGCAGCCGTAGTACAAAATGGACAATAAAGTTTATTGATATACAAAAATTTTAATTGGGGAAAAAAGTTATTTTTAGCTCACTTTTCTGCATGTCCTCCACCTTGGGAATATGAGGGAAGAGAGACCAGTAGAAAATCTTTAAAACATAAGCATGCATTGCACAAGTGCTCAAGGGACGTGTAGTCCATCAGGACTTAGGTTGAAGATTATGTGCCAGCTCCCTGTCTGGCAGTTCGGGGAGTCGCTGCGACAGGGAACTGGAGCAGGCCACATATCTGCAATGTAAATGATGTTGCATCTCACCACATAATCTCACCACTGCAATGTAAATGATGTTGCATCTCACCACATGAGATGCAACATAATTTTCTCCTTCATAAAGTGGGATGGTATTATGAGGACAATAAGCGTGTATATGCTGTGGCAAATCTCACTAATGGCAAGAATATCTAGAAGCAAAGATCGAGTGATCGAGTATAGCTTGGGTAGAAAACAACATTGGTGAAACTACAACTCCTATTATGCCTATGGAAGTTATGCCTGTGGCTGTCAGGGTGCTGCAGTGGACTTATAGTTTAGCCACAGCTGGAGTACTGAGGTTGCCTACCACTGGACTATGGTAAATCTATTTAAAGAGAAATTTACTTTTTTTATATATGGTTAGAAGGGTCATTCACGGTGCACAGATCTGTACATCCATGCAGGGGGCTGCAGGGAGGCACAGGTGTTCCATGCATCCATCTGTTAAAATGACATGCTAAGGCCCCATTCACACACGAATCGGCCTGCACGTACAGCTCTGTGCTGCGTGCGGGGCCGTACCAAGCAGCTGCCGGGAAGGACAGGTGCTGCGTGTATTTAGTACGCAGCCCCCGTTCTCTATGGGGCTACGCGGCCGTACGCCCACCTACGCTCACCTCAATTGCAGGTCCGTAGGGGTGCGGGTGAGCGTATTTATACGGCGCCAGTATGGATTCTGTATGCGTCCTGGCCAGAAAACCCGCACCCCTACGGACCTGCAATTGAGGTGAGCATAGGGGGCGTACGGCCACGTAGCCCATAGAGGACGGGGGCTGCGTACTAATCACACGCAGCACCTGTCCTTCCCGCCAGCTGCTTGGTACGGCCCTGCATGCAGCACGGAGCTGTCTGTGCAGGCAGATTCGTGTGTGAATGGGGCCTAAAAGTTAAATGAAAGTTGAAAAAAGTTTTGACTGGAGTTATACTTTAATGACGATCTCCATCATTCCTTAAAAGAAAACTATGGGGTGACCTTTTTATCCCATAGTTCTCTTAAGGGTCACGGGAGGACATATTCTAACCTCCTCCCATGACCCAAAGCTCAGTATATAGCGAGCTATTGCTCACTATATACCGAGATCGCCGCAGCCAGGACAGATCCCGACAATGCTGTCGAGATCCACCCAGCTGGCTGATTGACAGCTGGCTCTGCTTTTCTAGTGGCAGAGCCGGCTGTGCCCGCCGCCTCCCCGTCCATTTCTACACTCAGCGCTGGAGGAACGGAGCGGCAGGGGGGGGGGGGAAATCCCTGCTGGGAGCCGTGACTGACAGTCACTCCTCTCTGCAGGGAGATGATCAGAAAGTGAACGAGCAACGGTATGTGTTCGCTCACTTCCTGATCTATAGAGCCAACCTGTGGCAGTTTCATTGTCACACGTCGGCTCGAACTATGAGGATGAGTGGATGAGACTCACCTCATAGTTCTCCTTTAACATAGGAGCTGTTTGGTACTGTGATTTTGACTTAATGCTGCCAAACGCATAACAATTAGATCATTTGATGTAATTCATCAAAAAAAATCATTATATCTTCCAGAAATGTATTTCACTAAATGAACATTTTGGTCAACACAGGATACTTCTAATTGAAAAGGACTTATGGACCTAACTTAATTCAACATGAACCCTTTCTGTCTGCAGTTTGTAAATAAATGCCCCTTAGCTGTGGCGGCTGTCTGAGAACATAAATGTCTGCTCTCTTTCCCTCCTGCAAATCACTATTTTGTGTTATTAAGAGGTGTTTTGACATAGTCTCCACATTACTTGCTATCAGACCCATGCTAGGTTGAGGTCTTCTGTTTTGGGTACTGAGGCTGTTTTCTCCAGTAGCATCTGTAGTTTATTGCTCATTCGGTGTGAGGAGTTAATTTCTAATTTATAAGAGGTTTGCTTATGTACTTTGCAAGTTAGACACTTGGGGGAGCCCTCTTCTTATTTTTTCTACTATGGGCACCCAAGGGAAATGTTGCTGTTTACTTTTAATGCCCCCTCAGTAGGAAGCCTGTACAGGAGTGAGTGCATGCACTTTTCAGCTGCTCTCCAAGAACAGAATTTACAGTACACGCCGCTGAAAGGCATCAGATTAAAACGGAACCATTGGACATGGAGCCTTGCTGCAAGGAGAAAATGGATCTCAAAATATCACACTTCCACTTAAAGAATTTGGAGTCTACTGTGAACCATGAGTTTGAATATATTAGGAAGCTTGGTGCTAAATAGCCACTCTACTGTATGCTCAAGTACAGCTTCTCTGGGCTTAGAAAGCAAAGGCCCCATGCTAATCTAGGCCACAATCAGTTTGTGTTTGCTGAATCTAGTTTTAAAAGGCTACCCTGGCTGTTTGTAAAAACTGCTGTGGATTTTTATGTGAAAGTTTTTCCCAAGCAGCACCACCTACCCTGATGCAGATGATGACTCTGATGTTCTCAACACATTGCTTCCGCCTGTCACTTCTGAGCCATCAGTGGATTACTTTCTAGCAGTTCTCTGTAGCCACCAAGCATTTTTAGGGAAAGTGGTGCTGGCTGGATTCCTATTAAAGCTTACTCGTTGCCTTTGATTTTGTAGTATATCGGGACAGTTAGGGGATTACTTTGGGTATTACCCTTTGCTTTGCATTATTGGTCTTCACTTCTATCTATGCAAATGAACTGCTGGGGACCATCTCTTACCCATGGTCCAATTTTTTCCCCTAAATCCTACTTGGACATGCTGGACTTCTCTGGTTTAGTTAGAATTCACCTACAGATCTGATATTAGAAGTGCATTATTTCTACCTCTATTATATATTATATCTCTCTATATATATCTATTATATCTCTGGAAGAAGAATCGTTTTGACCGATTTCGGTCTGCAGCTATTATTCGGCTCTTGCTCCATGTTCTATCACTGGCCTTGGTTGTTCTACCCCTAGGCACATGACAAACTCTCCCTCCAAGCCTTGTTTCCAGTCCCCCTGTAAGTGTCTTTCAAGCCTTACTTGATTTGAAGGTGCGCCCCCATTTTCCTCACTGGGGGAATGTTTGTTTACTTTTGTGGACAGTTGGACAACTTGCATCTTTGACACTTGGGTGGAGGAGAAAGTATCCCAGGGCTAAAAACTGGAGTTTTGCTCCCTACCCCTGCTCGTTTTTTCACCTCCAATTTTTCTGTGTCATCACATAGATTAGCACATCTTCATCGAGTCCTCTCGGTTCTACTGGATCAAGATGTCATTGCCCCATGCCCTGTGGGAGAACAGTTTCAAGTTTTACTCCAACTTGTTCAGTCCTGAATGTCTTTAGAACTTGTGAATCTGGAAATACCACATAGAATCATATCTGTCATCATCTATCTTCGCCAGAGAGACTTTCTGATTGCTTTGGACAGAAATGATCCCTATCTACATGTCCTTATCTTTCCAGCGCATCAGCGATTCCTATGCTCTGCTGTGGGGCTCCTGCACTACCAGTTCATGGCCTTTTCCCTTTTTGGCCTCTCGTCTGTACCTCTGGTCTTCACCAAGACCCGAGTGCTGGCCCTAGTATTAGCCCAGCTGCCTTTTTGTGCAATCTGCAATGTGGAATACCATGTAGACAACCTACTGTTGAGAAAACAGGGCAGGCTTTGTTGGACAACATAGCTTTTACTTTCCAGAAATCGTAGTGGTCATAAACCTTCAGAAATTACTGCTGAAATCAATCTGGTTCTAGGCCTGGACACAGCACAGCCCGGAGTGTTTCTTCCACAGAAGAAAGTTCACAGTTTCTGGTCTCAGATCCTCGCTTTCCAATCCAGAAGTCACCTGACGCTCAGCTTCTACATTAGAGTAATGAGCCTGATGTTTCTGAGACCGTTGGTTTTCACTCCTTGATTTAGACAATTGTACAGGGGGTTTCCCATCGAACCTCCCTTGTTTGTTCCCCTGAGCCTCCATGGGACCTGAATCTGGTTCTCTCCTGTGCTTCAAAGACACTCTGTAAACCCAAAGTGGTGTTTATTGTAGACGCCACTTCTAAAAGGCAAGTGTCTAAGATGGATGGCCTTATCCTGTCTTTTACATTTTTAATCGGAACATTGTTCTCCCATCCCTCTTTTACGGCTCCATCTCAACAAAAAGAAAATGTTACTCTATTGTCTGGATGTGGTTTAGGATGTGAAAGTCTATTTCGCAGCTACTGTTTCTTTAAAGAAGACCTATTCAATTTGTTTTCCAGATGAACTCTGTAAGGGTGCTGTACACTGGCTTTTCGGTTCACCATTTCTAGGTGTCTCAGGCAGACCATCTTCCAAATGTCTAAATATGTACTGTATAAGTTAACAGCAGAGCACAATTCAATTGGAACAGTGGTTGTCACCAAGTCTATAGCTTCCCTGTGACACAGATCCTTTGGTTGGTCATGTCTACATTGCATTGATGCTATCCAGACCTAATGCTACTGGTGAGTTAGCCGTGGTGCACTACCCAGTATCAGAAAAGTGGTTCTGTCTATACTGTATCCCAATCTCTGTTATTTTCCTGAACATTTTAACTTCAGGAAATGTTGAAGGCTTCCTAGTATGTTACCTTTGATAGCTTTGTTCCACATTATTCTGAATCCTTTAGCTATGCGGGCTCTCATTAATATGAGCAAGAAGGGTTACCTCAGCATTATAGGTTTCTGATATTTTCCGTTGTGAATTGACTACAGGAAGTATAAATTACGCTAAATCAATTAGCAAGCTGAGTGTTTTCAGTATTAGGAGAAAAAGTCTTATATCAGTATGCTCAGTTTTGGTATTTTCCTGTTTAATTTACCTCAGGGTTTATCAAAGGCATCTAAGTGTGTTACCTTCACACACCACACTCTGCATTGATTAAGTGTATTAGCAATATGAGCCATTATTGGGAGTAAAGGCATTCTCTCCATATGCCAGTATAGAAGATTTTCCTGTTTTAATTGATCTCATGAAATAGCGAAGATATCTTGGTATTTTCCTTCAAGCACTGCACTCTATATTGTGCTGGGTCGTTTGGGTTATTAGAGCACTTTAATTTCTAGGAGCAAAGGTTTACCTCGGTATACCCATTTTCCAGTGATTACTTGTGTGGACTTTCAATACTGCCATAATGTTTACCAGTTATTGTACTGTACCCCAGTGGTAGAGCTAGAGCCCTATTCCTGTGCTCAGAATCATTCTACAGTTTCTCTGTGCCCGATTTTCTGACCTCTGACTCTATCACTAGATGTCTTTTTTGAGGTTTACACATTTTATTGTGCGACCTTGGCTCCCGAATATACCAAATTCATACTCTACAGACTCCAGGCATAAAAGAGTTGCTCCTCCTTGAGGATGACCTTGTTATCTGTCTCCTTTTAGGGGCAGCATTGTGACACAGGAAGAGCAGGATTTAGCTCCTATCTGGATTTTTTAGTGAAACTTCCTATTGACTCCCCTTTCTCTTCTCTGAATTGTGTACAACCCTTCTGGAGAAACCATCTGAGAGTTCATTGTTCTACTTATGTTTGTTCCTTGTGCCGCACGGCGTTAGCTTTTTCATAGTGTTCATACTACTTTTTGCAGGTCTCAAACTCTGTTTCAAGACTTCTGCCTATTTATTTCCCTCCTTCAGCGAGAGTTCTTCTCTATTTTGAGACTTACGCTCTATTTCTCACAGGTTTCTTGTTTGTCTAGAGGTTCATTTGGGTCTTAGTTGCTAGATGAAGTTTCCCTACTTTTAGCTATAGTTTGAACTATCATACCTTTCTGTCAGCTATTGGTGTGTGTTAGAGGATCTATCCCTGCCTTTTTCTACTGTGGCCCTGTTTCTTCTTGGATTTCACCTTCCTTCAGTTAAGGATGGATTGCCTAGGTTTTGGCCTTTACCTCATCTCCTTCCATTATTGACCCATTTGCTGTTGGTCCCTGTTATTTACACCTGTTGTTTTCTTTTAGTGCTTGTTTAGTTGTCCTCGACTCTGTCTATACCCTTCTATGGCAGTCTTCCCCCGGTGGTGTTCCAGACCTGCCTTGGGTCTTTCTTAGTGCCCTCCCTTGCAGGGGAAATTCCCCATTGCTCCTCAACAATTTCTCTTGTCCTTTAGCCAACATCTTCCTCTGGATATTTAGTACCTGGATTCCACATCCATTGGATCTCTGAGTGGCTGCTGCCCACCCCTGAAGTTTCATCGCTTGGAGATGTCCTGTGTCCTGCAATGGAAGAAAATAATATATTTTTTCTTACTGTAAAATCTTTTTCTTAGAGTCCATTGAGGGAAACAGGTCCCACCCCACTGTGTCTTGATTCTATGTACTCCTTACTCAAAAATCCGAGGCATGACGGTTAGGGATATGATGTGCGGACCTTCACATTTTTTTGCCAGTGTGATCCTACTGAAGTCAGCTGCATAATCCACACATCTAATGCCAGGAAAAAGATTTTACAGTAAGAGCAAAAATCCTATTTTTTGTACTTACTGTAAAATAATTTTCTTGAAGTCCATTGAGGGACACAGGTCCCTCCTCTCTTTATTTATTTTCTTGCTTTACTACAAAATTTATGGTTGTGGGCAATGTTATACTGTGCTGGCCAATGACTTTTGTATTGCCAGTGTCCATTTCTCCTGCAAGTGGCAGTGTGACCAGACAGACTAGGAATACTAAGAATACCTGTATCCCTCAATAGACAAGGACATGGAAAATTATTTTACGATAAGGAAAAAATCATATTTTTCATTCAGACGTTTCTTATTAAAACTCTGTTTGGAGCGGTAGCAAGCAGGGGGGAAGGAGGGTGTCCCTGACTCATTCAGCTTTGTGAAAAATCTGAGTTTCACGTACTCTAGTCTGTAAATAACTGTTTTTTTTCAGCAAAGGAGTTAGGATTAGCTAGGTAAACTACCTAGAGCTCTACCTACTGGCTGGAAATATTAAATCGGAGATATTTCTATGCCATATGAATGGGAGAGGCTTGAACCCCTGTTGGATTTCTGTCTGTGTTCCTGTTGCCAATTTTCCCTTACCTTAGGAAACTTACTCTAACAGAGACCGTGATATCAGTAACCAGGGAGGGGGTTCTTATCCTTCCTCACTATATTTAAAGGTAAAAAAAATGTTTTGGCTTGACACACTTAAATCCTCAGTAAAGTGTATCTATAGCCAAAATGTTTCCCCTTTAGATACAGAAGGCAAGTCAGTTATTTACTGTATTTATTTATTTTTTGTAAATGTACCACCTTTGCCAGATTTCCTTTCATTTCCTGATCCAGAGATGCAAGAGGAAATATAGGTTTTTCCAAAGTGAGGGAACTCCTCTCACTGGAAATGTTTTCAATATAGATATACTCTAATTAAAAAAAGGGAGAAACGTGGAGCCAATCATGCCCACTTCACTATTTTAACCTCAGTTTAATACATACAATCCACACTAACAAGGGAAATTCCAACTGGTGTTTTGTATGCAAAATAAATTAATGTTACCATAAGGTAATAATGTTACCAAATGTAATTCATGTCATTGCTTTTAAAATTATACGTTTTCCTGCTTTGCAGATGGATGATGTCCTTGATAGCATAATTAGCCTAGATGATATGTATGGATGCACTGAACCTGCCCTTTCCATGCCAAATACGGTATGAATATTTATACCATTTATGTGCTTTCTTGTATCTGCAAGTACAAGAACTCAGACTTAGACCTTATTTGTTTCATTCAACCATTCCTTCTTTCTTTTTTTTCATTTTCTGTGCAGCTGCCATTTTCCAGTAGTCATTTGGGGCTCTATTCTGATAGTCCACGCATTAGTGATACCATTGTTGGCATCACCAGCAATTCATGCCCAGCAGACTTGCCAATAAAGAGGGAGTTATCAGGTAACAAAATTTCATTTTACTTTACCCTTTTTCTGACTACTATAATGTTAACTGAAAGTTCAACACTATAGGGCATGGATGGGAATTAGCATCCTAGGTCAACCGCTGTCATTTTATCTCTGAAATAATGAAATAACTTAATTGGTGAGATTCACTTGCCATTGTGTGTTACTGTTCTAGCTGCAGAGTGAGGAATATCAATCTTTTTGCGGCACTCTCTTAATCCCTTTAATGACCAGAGGTCATTGATACGTACATGCCCAGACCAAATTTAGCATTGTCAGTATGCATTGTGGCATGCAGTGCCCAGTAATAAAGTGCTAAATATTGATTATCAGTGCTACACTGGCACTATTGGCTCATGTAATTGTCTCATGTTTGGTGTTGTTCTCAATTTGCTGTGGTTTCCCCACAGATGCAGAAAATCGTGCTCTTGTTCGTGAACGTCAGAAAAAGGATACACATAACATGAGTGAGTTATATAACATAGCGTCTGTGACATTTCCAATACATTTTATCTGATTCCCGTGTCACAGTACAAATATTTTTCATATTTTATTATGATCCATTTCATGTTTTTTTGGTGTGTTTTTATGTGTCTTTTAGTTGAACGAAGGAGAAGATTCAACATTAATGATCGTATAAAGGAGCTGGGCACTTTAATTCCAAAAACAAATGACCTGTGAGTCTCACACAAAAAAACACGTTATTTTTCAACATTGAAAAAGATCACAAAGTAACATGTTATATTTCAAATTAGGCCTTCTAAATTAGGGGTGGGGGAGTGTCGCTTAATCCTTGTACATGCAAGTTTTAGCTTATAGAATAGCAATGTGTATGACAAATGTTTGCAAAGTATTTAGAAAGCTTTCAGCCAAGCAGCTTCTTTAGAGTGATCTTCTCAGTACAGGGTTACTTGTATGCAAAAGCAAACTTACTAAAAGAAGAGGGAATATATTTACTTTTCCTAAAGGGCCACCGATTTGCTGCTTATACAACGCCAATTCCCAAAAAGTTGGGACGCTGTGTAAAATCTACATAAAAATAGAATGCAATGATTTGCAAATCTCATAAACCCATATTTTATTCACAATAGAAAATAGAAAACATGTAAAATGTTTAATCTGAGAAAATGTACCATTTTAAGAAAAAAAAAGGTAATTTTGGAATTGATGGCAGCAACACATCTCCAAAAAGTTGGGACAGGGTCATGTTTACCACAGTGTAGCATCCCCTCTTCTTTTAACAACACTCTGTAAACATCTGGGAACTGAGGAGACCAGTTGCTGGAGGTTTGGGAGAGGAATGTTGTCCCATTCTTGCCTGATATACATTATAAAAATATTTCTAGGTTTTCTAACATATACCTTTCAGGTTCCTGTGATGTTAAAAGTGTCCTGTGGTGGGTCTCTTGTTGGGTCTTCATTGGTGTCTTATGCAGAGAAGGAGCATAGCTTCACCCCCTCTCACCCTCATACCCTTTCGTAGATAAGTGAGAGAGATCCCATCCGTAGAAAGGCTTTAAAGCAGACCTTTCACTAAAAATCACATCCACAGTCAGCTCTGCACGCTGATATCAAATCATCTTACATTTGTTAGTTAAATAAACTTTTTTATATTACTTACAATTACTTAATTAGTTTTTCCTGGTACTCTTAGGCATTAGTGATGTAGCCTGTGCCTAAGTAGTTTTGTGCTATCTTGGGAAGGTTATATCACAGTGCTAGGAAATCTCATCTTTAAACTGCATAATCTTGTAAATCTCAAGGAAAGGCATTTTCCTTCCCTGAGAGGATCTAGTCACATGTGCCAGAGTTCCGGGAAGAAAAGGGACATATATTAATCTGCCCTTAGTAAAAATGACCTCCGTAAGAGGAACGGGGAGGAAAAGAAAAATAAGGTATGCAAAGAATAAAAAGAATGCAAGTATCTGTTTGTAGATTGTCATTGCTAAACATTTCTAAATGTGACGTTTTTGTCGTTTTAAAGATGAGGGTGAAGTTCCTTTTTAAATGTGATGACTGATACTGTATATATTGAGTAGGCATGCTTAGCATATTAAGGCATCTTTTCTCTACTGTATCCTAGTGAAACACGTTGGAATAAAGGGACAATCTTGAGAGCCTCTGTGGATTATATTAAACATATGCAGAAAGAGCAACATCGGAGCCGAGACTTGGAGGTTCATTCCAAGCATCTGCAACAGGCCAACAAACAGCTGTGGCTTCGGATCCAGGTAAATAAAATATCTTTTAACATTAAGTATAATTCTCTTTAGAATACACATCTATATCAACCAATTTTTTTACATACACAAATACATGAAAGACTTTACCACATTAAAAATAGTGCCTGTAGTAATACTGTATGTATTTGCCATGTCTTTACAATCAATGACAAACATGTCACAATAATTATTATACTTTATGTTTAAGGAGCTGGAACTGCAGGCACAGGCACATGGCCTTTCTTCAACTTCTCCTCATGGGGTAAACCACACTGATGCCGCCAAGCATGAACCAGATCCTATGACAGGTGTTCAGCAGCAGCAGCTCGGAGTTCCTCAGCAGACTACATACCAGCATGTAGTGGACTTTTCTGCAGGTGTTGGATACCAAAACAGCGCCTGTGCAGACACTTCTTTCCCTGCAATTTCCAAGTCAGAGCTCGATCTCATGCTTTTGGAAGACACCATGCTAAGCTCTGATCCTATGATGACATGTGATCCACTTATGTCTACCCTTTCCCCTGGAACCTCTAAAGCTAGCAGCAGAAGAAGCAGCTTCAGCATTGATGAGGTTGATGGTCTGTGACATCATGAACTATAGGACCTGGGATCCTCGTTTTTTTGTTTTTTTTTGTACAGTGCCTGGTAATGAGATCACTGCAAACTAGGACCCAGGAATCTTGTTACCTTATTTATGGGACAGTTTTTGGTTAGAATCACATGACCACTAAATTCTATGCACTTGAGAATATGCAATGATATAGTCAGATAGTCTAGTGCTTACAGGTAACCATGCCTAAATCATGGCTTTGGAAGGTCCTTTGCAGTTGAAAAGCAATGGTTCAATATTTGGGAAACCACATAAGTTAATAACACCTGGACATGCTGTTATCAGACTGTCTTCATAAGAAGTTCTAAATAACAACTTTCCCACCAGCATCATTTTTTCTAAAATCTGTGTGTGACTGGCACTTACATACCGATGCCTCAGCTTCTGCACTGCCTGCTTCCTCTGTGGCATGCACAAGATTGCCAAGAATCTGAAGTGCCTTCCCTAAGAGACACTGCGCATATGGATTTTGACTTGTTTGGGTATATCAGTAAAGATACACCTTCTTTAAATTAAGGAGTGTTACAATTCTTTCGATAACGTTGTTTTAAAACGTTGGAATGTGTGCTTATGTATTGATTCCCCATACAATTTGTCAGCCTGGAAATATTTAGACATTGGATATTAAGCAATAATCCACTTTCATCCCTTTTGAAATCACTGGATCAAGCTGTGGCTTATAGCTGTTGAAATGACAGATAAGTTATGGGTACTTTGGATATTATTTTACCGTTTGTATACATGATGTATACACTATATGCTGTAAAAGGAAGTTAGTGGTTAAGGCCTTTGTACACAGTTTCATTTGCTATTATTTAAACCTCTTTTTTTCATTATTGCTATTTGCCTATGCACAACTAAGCCTGATTATTGCTAGGATTGTCAAACAAATTATTGGGGTTTTTTTTTGGACTGCTCAGTACAGTGAGTCCTGATTATTGTGTTGTTTAGAGCACTTGGTTGTTCAGAAACCGTTACAATGGATTCCCAAATCCAATTGTCAAAGCCAAAGATTTTTCTGCACAAATGGAGCATGTATCCCCAGTTGGGGAGCTAATTTAGCCACTTGTGCCTATAGCATCTCTCTTTCATTTTACATGCCAAGTCCGAAACCTTTCAGTGATGATATAAAATTATATTTATAGGTATATTCATTCAGACTTTCATTCTTTTATATGAATTCAGACTTGGGATGGCCATACATAGGCACTTTAGTTTGCTGTGGAAAACAACTCAAGAAAAACATGCATATTACCTCCAGTCAAAACTGTAGTAGTTTTGTGCTACATTTTTATAGTTATGCTCATGATAATTCTCTGCTTTTACCATAAACAATTGCTATCATAGGTTTGAAATGCCAAACCATTTAGTGCCTGCTTTGAACCCTTCCTAACAAAGCATCCTCACTCTGTAAATGGGAAGTCATATTTCCACACACTTCTCAGGTGTCCAGGTCTGTCAAGTTCTTTGTGTTATTATTTTGATTCAGATGTTCACATTTTATAATTAACTGGATTGTGCTTGTTATAGACCTCTATACGCAATACAAGTCTGTATCGTCTGTTTTGCTACTGCAGTTCATTTCCTGCAAAGAACCACAAGAGGGTGCTGCATGTATTAAATAAATACTGATGAAAACATCTGTGGATTTACTTCAAGTTGGGCTGCTCTCTATTTTTATAACACAGGAAAATTACTTTGGGTCTTGTTATGGAAGGCATTTTACAAAGTGGGCTCAGTAGGACTAGGCAGAAGTCCTTTATTTTCCATTTCAATCCCTTATGATCAATGCCTATTCTAGCAACTTAATTAAGCTATTCCAGGTGTTTTAGTATTCTAATAAATATGTTTTTCATAGAATCACCACGAATAGTTGTAGGAGAAATACAATTTAGGGTATAGAGATTCATTTTTTCCTGTGACGAAATCTTGCCTAACAATTGGATTGCCCATTTTGTTCAGCTCTCACATGTTGTACATTGCTTAACCAAGACCATTGAACTAGTGGCATCATTTGCTGGCTCAGATGAGTTTAGAACAGAGGTGGTCTAATCATTTTCTCAAGGGGCCACATGAAAAACTAGGACTCTTGTGGAGGTGCTAACCATTTCAATGGCACCCTAAACGCACCTCCCAGCCGCAATGCAGTCAACCACGTTGCAACGTATGGTGCAGTTGAAAACTTCCTGTTTAAAGAAGAATCAGCCATCCTGCTTGATTTTGTCCTCACTGAGACTGACAAGATTTACACAACAGTAAGGGCTAGTTTACACCATAACTGCATCAGAGCTGTGGTTTTTTTTTAAAGCTTAAAATGGGCTATCAGGCACAGTCCAGTGTGTTCCAGTGCATTTGCATGTGTTTTGATGCGTTCCGTTGCGATCAGGTGCAGCTAAAATATGGCAAGCAGGATTTTTTCTGACTACATCAGAACAGACTGCACTGGTGTGAACAAAGCACCAGAAATCCAATTGGAAAGCATTGATGACGCTGCCAAACTGAATGGACTGCATCTGGTGTGAACTAGCCCTTAATCCTATACCTCCACTCTGCACCACCAAATTTGCTGCACTGAGGACTTTGAGTAGCTAGACAGCATACAACACCATCCGCAAACAGTCTGGGCAAGTACTTACCAGAGGGTGATTTCTATATGGTAAAATGAGGTTTGGGGTATTTAGAGGGTTTTTATCTGAACACAGGACAGCATAAGGCTCTCAAAAAGGTACAAGCTACTTCCAGATTGCAGCCCTCAAGATAACCCTGTTGGCAACACATGTTGGCTTACATTTCTAACTGGACCATGCGGGGCCCCACAGTACCAAACAGTAAAAAGACTAGTCATGTTCAGGTCACACAAGTGATTATGGATGAGTGAATCAGCCTGGGTTTGGTTTGGAACAGTATAGTAAACTTTTTTTTAAAATAAAAACAAAACAATAACCATGGAAGTGCCAAACCTATACAAATCTATATTCACTGAGTGGTAAATAGGGTGACTAGTACTCAGGGACGTGCGGTCAGAGCCTCACCTAGTAATTTGCAGGAAAAAGCTGTCAGCTTCAAGTCTGAAGCTGATGGCGTTTTCTCCATTCAGAGCGACTTCTAACAGGTTACACAGCAGGGAAATCCTCCCCATTGTGTAACCTGCCATGGACGGAGCGCTGCCTGTTAATTACAGGCGGTGCTGCATCCGGCTTTTGACAGCTAAGTTAGGTGACGCAGCAGCGGGCTTCCCCACTGCTTTGTGTAACCTAACTAGTGAGGCAAGAGCTGCAACAGCCTCTACTCTGTGGATGGTTTGGACCACTGGCAAAGTGCCAGTGGCCCAAGCTGTCCAATAAAAAAAACCCACAGTACATCGATCTCGATGACTCAGCAGTGAAGAGCAAGTGAGGGACAGGGAGGCTCCTCCCTGTCTCCTCCTACCTTCACACTAGCTTGGTGACCGGGTTGGGGGGCAGGGCTTCATTGGGCTGGGGATTCAGCAGGCTGTGGGTGGGGCTTTGGCGGGCTGGGGGCAGGGCTGGGGAATGCCTCACCAAGCACAGAAGGTACCGCACGTCACTGCTAGTACTGTAAGACCCCTTCACATGTAGCGACATACCTTTGCAGCGGCCGGGATAGCGCGACTTTCAGGGCGACGTTCCAGCGACGATCCAGCGACGGTAGCGCGATCTTCTCCGTCGGGCTCCATAGAAAAAAAGCAAAATCGCTCAAAATCCGCCGAAAAAAGGGTCCGGTAGAAGCGACTTGCGACCGCGATGAGCGACGCGCGACATGGAGTTAAGACAGCTCCATTGAATAGCATTGGCCAGCGACTTCTCGCGATATCGCGCTGCAAAAATGCGCGATATCACGGCGGAAATATCGCGACATGTCGCTATATGTGAACGGGGCCTTAAGCTCTTTTACATTGAAAATTAGATGTCAGGCAAATCCTGTTAGAATACATTTTCACATGGGCGAACCTTTTGGAAAAGGGCACATTCCACTGTGGGTGAAAGTGAACAAAATCAAGCGTTCTTAGAAAATGGGCGAATCTTAGGTGAATATAGTAAATAGACCCCTTAATGCCTACATGTCCACAATAAGTACAATATAAACTAGTCTTATTTTTACAGACCTGAGTCAGATGACCATAGCAGGCAGTACAGCAGATTGAACCTGACCATACACTCTATAATCTGATTGTTCAATCTCCTTTAAATCTACCAACAATTATGAAATGCAAGGGCCTGCCTGTCTGGATTGAATGACTGTTTAGATTTGTTTGAATATGACATAATTTTGGTAAATCTAAGGCCCCTTTCACATGGGAGGCGGCTGTTCCAATCAAACAGTTTTTTCCTCGATCTTGTGTTGGAGTATTATATTCAGGGGTGAGCACAGCACAGTAATTAGAAACAGGAGTACAAGCCAACACATGGGAGCACAGGAGTGATGGCCTTGTGTTCACACAACAGCATGGTGACACTGGGAGTAATGTGGGGAGCACTAACATGGTCATTACAGATACGTTAGGCACAAGAAACATTAAAAGCAGAGGGCATAAGAGAATGCCATGCACGAGTCTCCCACCAGCAACCAAAAAAGTTAGAACTAGAACAGTTTGGATTTTGGAGGAATTGAATGATCAATTACAGTTCATCAATATGTCAATCCTTTGCCAGTCTGGCAGATTACCAGATACCTCTCTGTATCTCTCTCCCATCTCTCTGGATGTGTTTCTAAATGTTCAAGCTGTAAACAGCTCCTAACATTTAGAAGAAATATCTTTATACAATGTTTATTCAATGAGTCATCCTCTGAGGTTCAGAAAGGAATTCTTTTCCTGTTACAGTCTGACTGTACAGTCTCCTTTAGGTCTATCAACAACTATGTATTGCAAGAGGCTGTCTGGATATTAAAGTAGCTCCACATATTTTATCGTTTTCTTAACGCAGTGATTATACAGTCAAATTGTAACATGTATGATTTAGAACAGTGGTTCTCAACCTGTGTAACCTCAGGACCCAAATTTGTCCTTGGTCATTAAGTCGCGACCCAAGTCGCACTGCAATGGAACGCATGGCATTAGGGTACCGGGCGTTCCGGTGCGGGCATATACGAACTGTGGGTGAGAAGTGCGTTTGGAGTAGCACCTCCCACACCAGAATGCATGGTAGGTGCGATTGCATGGAACAGTTTAACGCACTGTACTAGTGTGAAAAACACTGACATGCATACAGAGATACAATCTCACACACTCACAGACATTCTCACACACACATACTCCAAAAATGTTTTAATTTTTTTTAAGGTCCACCCAGTCTTCCTACCTTACGAGAACTAGCGTGGATCCTCAGTCTGGGG